TCCTGCTGCCCCCTGTCACCCTCCAGGTGAAGGTCCAGAGGCCAAGGTTTGGTGATAAAGGAAAAGAATCTTTATCCAAAAACTTCACAATTTTGGAATAACAGCTTTCCACCTGCATATCCACTTTAAGCCTATCAGTTAAGGCTAACCTCGAACTCTTTAGTTACAGCTTCAATCACTTAAGCCTATCAATTAAGGCTAAACTCTTTAACACCCGAGTTCTAGCATTCCCCCTTGTTAGTTTTAGTTATTTCCTTAGGGTTGGCTTACAAACTGAAACAACATACGATACAAAAGCTACACAATCCTGGAACAACGACAGACTTTTGCCTCGGAGCTCATCCCCTTTAGAACTCCCAACGGAGAATAACCCAGCCCCCACCCTGCCAGGCCAGCCCAATCCTTGGCTGCAACCCAAGTTCCTTCCCATCTAACATACCGGCCATTGGGAAATGCAGGCAGCTGTAGCACATCCAGGAACCCTCAAGGAAGAGACACACAGAGAGGGCAGGTGAGCCCAAGAGCCCTTCTTTTATTTCAAATTTTCTAGCCCACAATTCCATGCGCTCCGGAGGCATTCAACTTCTCAGCCAATCCCGTCCTGGACTGCCTCCCCCCACAGCCCCTCCTCCCCCTCCCCAGTGATCTGATCAGATCAGTACCAATATCTATTATGAATATAACACAAAAATCCTCAGCAAAACATTAGCAAAATAAGTATCCCTACACCCTCATGAGAATAACCAAAATTAAAAATACTGACAGGACCAAGCGTGAGACTCGACCAGCACCCTCATCATGTTGCTCGGGCCTGCGCAAGTGCAGTGCTGCCTTTGGGCAGCTTGGCAGTGCCTTGTCTTAACCAAGTTCAGCACGAACTTATCACCCGACTCCGTGCAATGACCTGGACACTAACTATCTGGAGTTGGGACAGACTTCACAGGTTAATGGCAAAAGCCCCCCACGAGACTGCTGTCACTTCAGATGCCAGGTATGGGGGTCCCAGGCCACCCCCGCTTTTGACCAGTTGGCTGCAAATTCGGGAGTTCCCACCATTGCCCCTTAGGTTTGATAATTCACTTGAACAGTTCAGAGAACTCAGGAAAAAATGTTGCTTGCAACTCGTTTTATAAAGATACAAACCAGAACCAGGGAAGAGGAGACACACTGGGCAAGGTCTAGACGAGTCCCGACGTGACACCTTGTGATCAGTGCACCAGTGCAGGACTACACGGAGCACTGCCACCCAGGGACACACTTCAGAGCTTCAGTGCCGAGTCCTCACTGGGGTTTCACTTGTGGGGCACAGTCGACTCACTGGAAGTAAGACTGAACTGTTCAGGCTGGTATCATGTGACTCAGCCCGAATCTTTTAGCATCGCTAGCCACCATCCCAAGACATCTCACGAACAGAAGCTGTCAGGACCCACCACAAACAAGACGCTCCTTTCTCTCAGGAAGTTCTATGCTCTAAGAGGCTACATCCCAAGAACTAGGGACGGAGGCCCACTGACTTCTCCATCACACACCCAGCAATCCTATGCCAAAGCATATGTTATCTTGAGAATGAAAACTAATATTAATACACAAATCTATACAAAATGTTTATGAAGTTCATAATCATCCCAAACTGGAAATAACCCAAATGTCTTTCAATGGGTAAATGAATGAACTGTGGTACATTTATACAGTGAAATACTACTTGGCAATAAACAGGAATGAAGCGCATTTTGCTAAGGGAAACGCTTTGTGCTGTGTACTCGACATGACTCTGGAAAAGGGAAGACAGAAAGGACAGGGTGGGGGATTATCCACAAAGGGCCAGCACAAGGGAATTTGGGGGCATCCAAATGTTCTGTATGGTAGCGGATACACAACTCCATTAAAACCCACCACAAAGGCAATTTTAATATATGTAAATTTAAAAATCAACCAGGATGTGTGGAGGAGGACAAAATGCAGACTGTTAACAGATGAACCTAACTGTATTACAAATGAACCACATAATCACACTGAAGAAACTGGGGAAGAAAGGAACTAATGTAACTTTTCATCTTAATACCTAAATAACTTTGGAAAAGTGTCTTGACATCACATTAAAAGGCTAAAAACTGTACACAAACCCTGTACTGTAGTTGGTAAATTTGTTTCTCATAAGGACATATATAGGTCAACAAATCTTTGCGAACACCACTGTCCAAAAAAAGGGTGGGGGGGCAGGGAGAATACAAGATGAGCCTGGAGCATCCTGTGGGGGCAGGGAAGGAGAGGGAGGTGGGGGGGGCACACGCGAAGGAGACTGAGCTAAACATAAAAAATATACAGGAGCCAACCCGAAAGAGCTTCAAATAGCCAAAACTTTAACTGAACTGCAAAATAACGATGGTATTGGATCATAGTTAAAATAGAGATCCATGAACACAAAGTGATATAATTAGCTAGCTGGGGGGAAAAAAACAAATGGGGAAGAAGGGACTTTTTCCTAGCAGAGTTCTAATAATAAATGTAGAAGAAATCAGGAAAACAGCAAACTACCATTAGAACAGTGCAGTAATAATTGCTATAGGCAAGTTCCACTCCTGGGTGCCAAAATTAATTTAGAGCAGAAGCAATATTTACATAGTCTCAAAGTGTTTGCCCCAAACACTTACTGATTACAAAGGGAAAATAGGAAATGGGTGCAGAATGCCAGGCAGACACCTCCTTAACCACAGACGCAGGACTAACACCCCCCAAAACACACACCTGCAACAGGCAGCCCCGAGCCCGCGCGTCAGCAAGGGCTATGGCCCCCGAGGCAGCCTTCCCAATACCACGTGGTGTCAACTGAGCAGAAAGCATCAGACAAACCCAAAGAGAGAAACATCCTATAAAACACAGCTAACCCTTGACAAGGCAGTGGGGTTAGGGGCACTGACCTCCCATGCAATCAGAACTTCTGACCCCCCAGAACTTTCCAGCCACCCCTTGCTATCCGTGGGAGACCGGTTCCAGGACCTCCTGCGGTCACCATTACCATGGATGTGCACGTCGTCACATCAAGGCTGCAGGGCAGTGCCCACAGCTGGCATACCGTTTGTGATACGAGGCTGGCCAAGCACGCAGGTGTGCAACCCAGGGATACGGAGGGCTGGCTGCACACTTAATAAAATCTGAGTGTAAGTGGACCTGCAAAATTCAAACCCATGTTTTTCAGGAGCCAACTGTGATTGGTTGTCTTCAAAAATGTCAAGGCCGTGAAAAACAAGGGAAGACTGACGACTGTCACAGACGGAAGGAGACAAAGGAGACATGACAACTAAACACACTGTGGCATCTTGGACTGGATCCCGGAGCAGAGCAAGGGCGGTAGTGAAATAACTGGTGAAGTCTGAATGAATTCTGTAGTTCAGCTAACAATATTGTAAACAAGACCAATTTGTTTTGGTCACTATTCTATGATTATGTTAGATGTTAACAAAAGGATAAGCTGGGTAATAAATATGTACAGGAACTCAAGATTTTTATCTCTCTTTTGTTTATCTAAAATTATCTCATAAAGTTTTAAAAAAGAGACCATGTTTAGGCATTTGAGCGAGGTTTTAAAGTGTTGGGTTCGGTTCCATTGCGGTGAATTGGAAGAAGTACCAGACAGCAATGCACTCCATCCTCGTCAATGATGCGGAACCTTGAGAGGATCACACAACCTCCCGGAACCTGTTTCTCTGCCAAAGGGCCCGACACACTCCGTACCTGCCTCAAAGGTTAGCGGAGGGTTCAACCACACAGCTGGCCACAGCTGTGGGGAAACGACAGGCTTGTGCACAATGCAAGCATTACTCCTACATCTTTAGGCCTAAGAGAAAACAGTATCAAGGAGGCATTTTCCAGAGATGAAAAAATAAAAATACTACATACTGAGCAAGGTAATGGTGGAAGAAAAGACCTAAACAAACTATGTTGTTCAGCAAAAGAGGGAACTTTTTTAAAAAGGGGGGGGAACTCTGTTAGGGTGAAGAGTGGAGCGATGGATTAGAAACTGGGTCCCTGTGAGGACTGTGGGTGACAACAGCTGTAACTGGGGGAAGGGCCGGGGGGGGGGGTGGTGCGGATCTCATTCGCACACCTGGCGATCTTATGCAGACCAGAACATGAACAACCAATGAGGAGAGGGGAAGGAAGTGGCCTCTTCCCTTGCTGCTACCTAAAGTCCAGCACAGCCAAAGCAGGCTTACCACCCCCCCAAGAGGAAGGAAAACACGAGGGTTCCTGGCACCGCAGAGGAACTGGATGCAGACCAAGTTCTGTAACACAGCTAGACACAAGGGAAGGAATTACACTTTCTAAAGATCCCTGTACCAAAAGCTAACAGGCCCTTCATCTTTGAAGAAATCTTTTGGTCTTTAGGCTTATGATTCCAGAATGAATGGGATAGAATCTGCCCATCAATCACCCTGTGTCCATAAAACTAAGCACAAAACCACCCATCAAGTGTTTATGCTTTCTCAAACCTAACCCTTCTACATTGAAAAACAAAACAAAACTCATAGTTTGCTCTCAACACTAAAGGTGCAAAATTCTTACATTATATTTTCAGCTATTACAATGTAACATAGACAAAAGAGAAGGCTGGATTAAAAATATGACCTCATCAAAATGTAATGAACATGAGTACATTTCCATCTAATAGAAAATAAAATTAAAGAATTTACTAGTAACGTTTTAGATCACTGCATGATAAACTACGTATTAACTATACAATAGCATGCCAATCAACAAGTTAGTAAACAAATGCTAAACTTTTACTTTTCCTGAGATTACAGTAAATTTTTCCAATTAACTTTTAAAGAGAAAAAGTAACCATATATGTTATGGAGATTATAAATAAGTCTCCTAACTTTCTCATACATTTAACTAACAGTCTATAGAGCTTACAAATGTCTATAATATACAGGTAATGTGAAGAGAAGAGAAAAAGGGGGCTTCCTGTCCCACTTTTAATAAATTGCAGAGGCATAATATTTTCTCAAGGTCATTTTATTAGCAAAAAGTGCAAAGTGTTTTGAACAAGAGCAAACCATGAATCACAGCAACCAGCAAGACATTAGACATGGAAAAGTGAACAATGTTAAAATTTAAGCAGATGAGATGCCTCTCACATATATATATATTCATGCTTTTCCAATAGTTTCCTTGTCAACTTTCAGTGCGACTTTCACCCACAGGCCAGCAGCTCAAGCACAAATGCAGGAGCACAGCAGCCAAGTCTGGCAACAGTTCTGGGCTAACCGCAGTGTAGCAGCCACCCTCACACCCCAGTTCCGTGTGAACCACGGCAGTACACGTACATTGTTAGAAGTAGCGACACTGAAATCAATGTCCAGTGAATAAAAATAAAGAAGAGGACTTTTAAACACTTGTACTTTAGAGGCATAACAATGAAGTAATTTTAAATGATCTTACACACGTATATATAACGAGGAACATGGCCAATCTCCATCAACTCAATTCATTTAAAATTACATTTGTAAAAGTCACACAACAGAAAGAGTATGTGCCACTAATCAGTGTGCCTGCATTTGAAAAAACAAGAGATAAGTTAACTTCAGTCAGCACACTCCAGAGGAGATTCAGTCTAGTGTCACTTCAGTCACTCACATAAAGTATCTACAGGGCAGAACCTACGAATAAGTAATTCTTCTCTTCACTGACCTGTGGGCATGGTGAAATGTGCAGTGTTTAACGCGCACAGTGTGAAGGTGGGCCACTGGGCACGACCGAGCATCTAGCCGGAAGCAGAGGGGCGCCCGTGCGGAGCACCACCAAGCGCGCGCACCGTCTCTAGGGGCGTTTTCTGGCAGTTAATTGCCCTTCTGTTGTAGCAAACTGCTTTTTACAAATATACTATTTCACTAAATTAATTAAGGATTAAGTGTTTATTCATTACATCACACAGAATTTCCCTCACACCCTTAATTTTTCCCTGTGTACTAATGTCTTATACTAGAATTGTGCTACTTCCTAAAGTTTCGGCATTACTACTTCAGGTAGGTATGATGAAAAAAAATCAGACCAAATCTGATTATCTGACAGATGACAATTTGAGCACCAACTTACAGCACATTTCGGGGTCAGGATAGCTTGCAAGTCAGTTCTCTTGGTTTGGAAATTACCTTCCACTCTTGTCTTCAGTGTTGAAGCTGAAATCCTCAGGGCCTATTTGTTCATCATCAGGAAAACTGGAATGTGCATCTAAGATTAAAAAAAATAAATAAAAATTAAAACCAGATTACATTTTCTGAAAACAAGTATTTTCTTCTCCATGTCATTAAATGATCTTACCAAGTGTGGTATTTAAGTGTAAAGATTTGCTGGGTTGTAAACAAAGCTGTCTTCAGAGAATTTGCGATCTGAGTCAGGTGTGAGCAAACACAGGGGAAAGGAGGAGAAAAGGAATGTGCAACAGGAAGTGCAAGGCACTGCCACTCTCCGTCCTCCTGGGGACACTAGGAGCCGCTGGGGAAGGGGACAGGAGATGAGGACCCACACTCTGAAGACTGTGTAAACATGTAAACTTCACAGCCAGTGAAACTGCACAAGCAGATATCATGACCAACACCTATCGGCACTCAAAAACTTGCTGAAATTTGGCTCTTTTAGAAAGAGTGAAAATTACTAAAAGTGTTTAATACTTAAAAATGATCAAATGCTTGGCTCTGTACTGAAAAAGGCCCTAGAACATCAGGAAAATGTGTCAACTATAAAACTGACAACTAGCAGACGCCTGACAATGTTGTCACCCCAGGAAACCCTGGGGAGGAACATGCGGACTGGCCACTACGGCCTCCAGAGAAAAGACAAACAACGGGCGAGAGATGCTCCTGGAACTCCCTGAGGCGGTCGCTGTGCACGCAGTACACGCACACACTCAACGCAATGTTGTACACCCAGAACAAAACAAAAATATCCACAATAGGATTCTTTCCGTGAGTTTTTTTCCAGAGATTTTTTGGGAGGAAGAGGGAGTAAAAATTGGTGATTCCACTATTTGCATAATTTCTAAGAAATCAGAAAAAAGTTATCTTTTTTTTAAAAAATAAGATTTTTATTTACCTTTAGAGAGGGGGAAGGGAGAAAGAGGGAGAGAAACATCGATGTGCAGGAAAAACTTGACCTGTTGCCACTCACACGCCCCCAACTGGGGACCTTGCCCGCAACTCTGGCCCCACAAGTGCCCTTGACTGGGAATCGAACCAGCAACCTTTCAGTTGGCAGGCCAGTGCTCAGTCCACTGAGCCACACCAGCCAGAGCTGGAAAAAAGTATTTAAAAAAATTGTCTTATTAAGTAGACTAGAAATGTATCTAAAAAGAAAAAAAACCCGACAACCTCCAAAACCTTTCTAGTGGTTGGCCGACATTTTCTATAAAGGGGCAGAGTAAATACGTCAGTACTGAAGGTCACCAACAGTCTCTGCTGAAAACGCTTCTTCGTGTCTGTGTGTTCTTACAACTCCTCGCAACACAAAAGCTATTCTCAGAGGTCACGGGCTATCCTGAGGCAGGTCACCGGCCTCTGCTTCACACATCCAATAGGCAGTGCCCACTGGATGTCTGATGAGCCAAATACTACCTACATTTTTTTCAGTCTTCACCACTGAGTTTGCCCCGTACACACTGTCTCACGAATGACAATTATTACAACAGAAAAAGCAGCAGAAGCAGCCAGAGCAGAGGGAGCAGAAATAAAAGCAAAATAAGCAGCGGCAGCGGCAGAGATGGCTTTATTCATTTCTGTGAAACGACACCACGTGCTGCACCTTCGTCTGGGGGCTGAGCCAGGAAAGAGTCGTGAAACCCGCCCAGGCCGGTGTGCTCGTCCTGGTCCTCGTTCTCAGTGTCACATTCCGCGTCACTGTCACTGCTCATTCCTGCTGGGAAAGATGAGGAGAACATGTTTCTAACAAGAAGCCACTTTCAATGAAAGGAAAAAGAAAACCTCCTTATTTACTAAACAGTGATTCCCACTGAATGGTAATACAAGACACCAAACAAACAAAACAAGGAAAACCAACCCCCAAAACTTCAGCTCACTTTAGTTAGCAGAACAGTGGCCCTACTCTTGTCCTCAGAGACTACACCCACCCTTCCCACATTACCTGAAGTTAGCATTCAAAACCAGTCTAAATGTCATTACACTGAGAATATTTTCCCCAAAGTACACACTGTTTTTTCTATAGCCATAAGAAGTAACAGGAACTCTTAATACCAAGTGGCCGTACATATAATAGTTCCTAACTTATAACATATAAATATAAACATGTTACATAAATTCAAATACACATTTACACACCTTTGTATACGTGCATATAAAAGATTCCCATATTCTAGCAATAAAAAATGAGTTGTTATTACATTTAGGCCTCCAATTTCGTATCTGTGTATATCAGCTGATTTTTAAAAAGAAAAATTCTATAGAAAGTACTGTGTTGCAAGAACACAGTGATCCAAAAACCCTGAAAATAGTAGAAAAACTATAGTTTTTCTATTTATAAACTATAGTAGAAAAACATAAACTTAAAATACTATTTTAACAAACAGCCACATCTAAAAGAAAGAAGGGGAACCCACAGCCACCAGAATACGTAGGTAAACCGGTGGGCCCAGCACTGCAGCCACGAGGGTCTTTCCCACTCCCTGAGGGATAGGAAAACAAGCAATCTTTGAACCCATCGTAGAAAGGGAACTGAAACCGAGACTAAACTCTATACTCCATGCATAAAGCTAATGTTCCTTTAGAAAGAATGGACTAGGAAGTCTGCCTACTGACATAGGAAGAGAGCAAGAAATTTGGCTTGTTTCTGCGGGGCTCAGTTCACCTCAGATTTCAAACTAAGGCCTGTGTACGTCATTTAGGTTTGGAATTTAAAGTTGAGGCTCAAATCTCAGGACATTAGCATAAAAACTGGCCGGGAGCTACTGTTATTTGACAAAACAAATGTGAAAATCCTTGGGCGGGGAGATTCTGGGTCAGCTGGAGTAAGCACATTCCACCCAGCCTTTCCCACGGAATGCAACTATAAACCTGGACTGATCGCAAGGAGCAGCTGTTTGAAAAACTCTGAAAAGCAGGGGGTCCCCCACCCTGGGGCCACAGACTTGCTCCACAGTCCGAGGCCTGTTAAAAATGGGGCTGCAAGGGAAGCTCGCCTGAGCTCCGCCTCCCTCCCCACCCCCTGCCCCCAAAGAAGGGTCCCTGGTGCCAAAATGGTTCGGAACTGTTGCTGAAAATTAAATAGAAATAAGCATAGACCTGAATTTGAAGTACCACCAAACTGGCAGATTGAAACAAGACCTGGAGTCTCACAAAACTGTTAAAAATGTCTAGCATACCATCCAAAATTACCTGAGCATATGAGGAACCAGGAAAAGACAATCAACTAACATTAATGTGAGATGACAGAGATGCTGAGATTATCTAACAAAGAACTCAACGTGGAAAACAAAAGGAGATATTTTTAAATTACTAAGTACTTTCTAAAAGTGAAAGATGGTCATCTTAAAATTTAAACATTAGTAGATGAATTTAGAGCAAGTTGAAAAAGCAAACTTAAAGATGTAAGTGAGAAAATTAATAACACTAAAGAAAAAATGAGGGACTTCCGGCAAGATGGAGGCATAGGTGGGCGCACCGTACCTCCACGCACAACCAAGATTAGAACAACAACAATTTAGAGGCAGAATGACACCCAGAACTGACAGAGAATTTATCTGAATAGAAGTTGGACAGCCAAGAAGTTGAAATAGACCCGTTCATCCGGACTGGTAGGAGGGGCGGAGAGGAGCAGCCGGGCGCAGGTCATGGCGTCCGGAGAACAGGGAGAACTGGGCGCATAAGGCAACCAGGAGCGTGTAAGCCATCCGGGGCGTGCAAGATCACAGCGGGTGGACCCTGAGTACACAAGCGGCAGCTGGCAGACCCAGTGAGGCGGCGATTATGGAGCAGGGCAGAGCGCACAACCCAGGATCCCAGGGAAGGGACTGAGGTCCCAGGAGAACGGAGCTACCGCCATTGTTTCCTCTCGACCCCGCCCTCACATACAATGTCACAATCTAGTGACTGGGGTGCCCAGCCCCAGTGAACACCTAAGACTCTGCCCCTCACTGTAACAAGAGCAAGCAGACCAAAAAAAAAAAAAAAAGAGAGAGAGAGAGACAGCTCGAACAGAAGCACAAATCAGTGCCCTAGGACTCGTACTTTTGAGCAACCAAGAGATAGCCAATCTATCAGATGCACAGTTCAAAACACTGGTGATCACGAAGCTCACAGAGTTGGTTGATTTTGGGCGCAAATTACATGAAGAAATGCAGGTTACCATAAAAGAAATGAAGGAAGATGCATGGAGAACCAATAGTGATGGGAAGGAAACTGGGACTCAAAACAATAGCATGGACCAGAAGGAAGAAAAAACCAACCAAACAGGAAAGAATGGAGAAATAAGAATTCAAAAAACCCAGAAGCTTAGGAACCTCCAGGACATCTTTAAACGTTCCAACATCCAAATTTTAAGGGTACTAGAAGGGGAAGAGGAAAAGCAACAGATTGAACACGTATTTGAACAAATAATAAAGAGAACTTCCCCATTCCAGCAAAGGAAATAGACTTCCAGGAAATCCAGGAAGCTCTGAGAGCCCCAAAGAAGTTGGAGCCAAGGAGGAACACACCAAGGCACATCATAATGACATTAGTCCAGGTAAAAATGAAGGAGAGAATCCTAGAAGCAGCAAGAGATAAGGGGACAGTAACCCACAAAGGAGTTCCCATCAGACTGTCAGGTGATTTCTCAAAAGAGACCTTGCAGGCAAGAAGCGGCTGGAAAGAACTATTCCAAGTCATGCAAGACAAGGACCTATATCCCAGATTACTCTATCCTGCAAAGCTTTCATTTAGAATGGAAGGGCAGATAAAGTGCTTCTCAGATAAGGTCAAGTGAAAGGAGTTCATCATCACCAAGCCCTTATTTTATGAAATGCTAAAGGGACTTATCTAAGAAAAGAAGATAAAGAAAAAACATGTATAGTAAAAGGACAGCAAACTCACAATTATTAACAACCACACCTAAAGTAAAACCAAAAGAAACTAAGCAAACAACTAGAACAGGAACAGAACCACAGAAATGGAGATCACATGGAGGGTTAGCAACAGGGGGAGTGGGAGGAGGAAAGAGGGGGAAAAGGTACAGAGAATAAGTAGCATAGATTGTAGGTTGAAAACAGATAGGGGGAGGGTAAGAATAGTATGGGAAATGTAGAAGCTAAAGAACTTATAAGTATAACACATGGACATGACTAAAGGGGGGGCATGGGTGGGAGAGGGTGTACAGTGTGGAGGGGAGTGAAGGGGAGAAAATGGAACGACTGTAATAGCATAATCAATAAAATATATTTAAAAAAAGAAAAAATGAGAGCTGTACAACAGAAGTTAAGAGGCAAGGGGATAAAAAGAGACTGGTTCAAACAGCCACAGAGAGGGCAAAAGTAACAAAACAGAGGGACAATATGTTAAGAAAAAAATGGCCGAGAATTTTCCAGAATTAATGAAAAATAAAAAATACAACATACCAATAGTTCTGGGGTGTGGCCACAGCAGTATTTGAAGGAAAACTTATAGCATTATATGCTTTTATTAGAAAAGGGTCTCAAATTAATGATCAAAGCATCCACTTTGAGAAACCAGAAAATGGGATTTGGCAGGTGGCTGAGTTAGCTGAAGCATCACCCCACACACTAAAAGGCCGCAGGGTTTGATCCCCAGTTGGGACGCGTATGGAGGGAGGCAATCAATTGACGTTTTTCTCTCACATTAATGTTTCTATGTTTCTTTCTCTATTCCTCACTAAAATCAACAAACATAGAGGAAACAAGCACATACAATGGCTTAAGATAGTTTGTTGGGAAAACTGGACAGATACATGCAGAAAAATGTAACTAGACTACCTTCGTACATTGTATACAAAAATTCAAAATGGACCAAAGACATAAATGTTAGATCTGAAACCATAAAAATCCTAGAAGAAAACACAGGCAGCCAAATCTCGGCCACCGTCTGTAGCAATATTTTATCTGACATATCTCCCCAGGCAAGGGAAACAAAAGAAAAAATAAACAATTGGGATTACATCAAACTAAAAAGTTTTTGCAAAGGAAACCATCAACAAAATAAAAAGACAACCCACAGAATGGGAGAACATATTCATCAATAAATCTGATGAGTTAATATCCAAAACTTATAAAGCACTCACAAATTCAACACCAAAAAAACAACCCAATTAAAAAAATGGGCAAAGGACGTGAATAGATGTGTCTCCAAAGAGGACCTACAGATGGCCAATAGACATAAAAGATGCTCAACATCACTAACCATCAGAGAATGCGGATTAAAACCACAATGAGCTATCACCTCACACCTGTCAGAATGGCTCTCATCAATAAATCAACACACAAGTGCCGGCAAGGATGTGGAGGAAGGGGAACCTTGTGCACTGCCGGCGTGAATGCAGACTGGTACAGCCGCTGTGGCAAACAGTATAGAGATACTTTAAAAAATTTAATATGGATCTGCCTTTTGACCCAGCAATCCCCCGTTTCTGGGAATATATTCCAAAGGAATCCAAAACACTAATTTGAAAGAACATAAGCACCCCTGTTCACTACAGCGTTATTTACAATCAGCAAGGTATGGAAGCAGCCCAAGCTCTGTCAATAAAGTGGATAAAACAACTATGGGACATTAATACAGTAGAATTCTATTCAGCTGTAAAAAATCAGAAAATTTTATCCTTTGCAACAATATGGATGGACCTGGAGAACATTATTATGCTAAGTGAAATAAGCCAGTCAGAGAAAGACAAACACCATATGATTTCACTCATGT